ACCACATCCCATGGTGCAAGCAGCTCCACGTTAACCACTTATCTCAGAATCAACTATGCAGTAAAGGGGCTTACTTAATCCAAGACAATAACAAGGACTAATACCTGAAGATTCTCCAGCATCATTTTATCCAATGCTTGAATGAAGTCCTCATCCTCTACACAAGGAACATGTTTAAGTCCTCCTCCTTTAATCATTACTTCCTGGTATAGAAGACAAATATTCTGTTACATTAATTTCAGCAGTAGTGAAGTTCAGGATGGATCTGAATTACTAAGAAAATTACTCTGCTTGTATCTCTGACAAAATTTGTCATGGCTTTAGTTTAAAAAAAATTGTTGAAGGAAAAAAATGTTAAAATGGATTTGCCCAGTTTAGGAATTTTGGTGTTTACTGCTCTAATGTTTACTAACATTGATCAGTGCCTAAAAACTGTGATGATTTGCAATATGTTGCAATACAGTTGGCACATTGATTGGTATTTATTTTAGACACCATGCCTACAATATATACAAAATAATATTCTCTCCCCACATCTGCAACTGATTGATTTGGCTGTATTTCTGAGGCTAGGTCTATACTACCCGCCTGAATCGGCGGGTAGAAATCGACCTCTTGGGGATTGATTTATCGCGTCCCGTCGGGACGCGACAATCGATCCCCCAATCGGCGCTCTTACTCCACCAGCGGAGGTGGTAGTAAGCGCCGCTGACAGAAAGCCGCAGAAGTCGATTTTGCCGCCGTCCTCACAATGGGGTAAGTTGGCTGCGATACGCCGAATTCAGCTACGCTATTCACGTAGCTGAATTTGCGTATCTTAAATCGACTCCCCCCCTGTAGTGTAGATGTACCCTTAGATTGGAGAATTAGAATGCTTATTCAGAGGGGACTGCCCTTAAATATTTGTAAAGCACACACATCTAGCAGGTACTACTATAAATAGTAATCATCATCCATTCATGGGACAGCTGATGTAAGGACACACTGATGCAATGAGACCCTAGTTAGTTATCTACAGAGAGGCTTTGTGGTTGTTTGGCATGTGGTTCTTGAGAACACATTTTAGACTATGATAATTTTTATTCTTTTTAAGTGGAACAAAACTGTAGACCTAACAATATTAAATAAGACACTCAGCTCAGTGGGGGGCCAATTGGTTCTGCCTCTGCACCACCATCCAGTGAGGCAGCAGCAGAATGTTTCAAGACCAACAACCTCAGCAGTCTCTCCTGAATCTCTTGCACAACATCCTCCTTTCCACTCTCCTACAGCTGAATGACCTCTCTGGGCTAAAGGCTCCATTTCATTAACGTCAGAATAGCTGAGTAGTACTAAGCAAATGCCATCACCCAAGAGACAGTGGCATCAAAGGCTGTATAAATAGGCCCTCATTCTCCATCACACCTGTTTCTGCCCCTGGCAATGGTGCTGCTTGTTTCCATGATCCAAGTGACTGTCATTTGGTGTGTCTTTTTGAGCTGAATGGAGGTAATCAGAATATAACGCAGCAAATACCTCAATATGCTACTTTCTCAGATGTTACCACAGCACATCTGTGGTAACATTTGGGGTGATCATTCACCATCTTACTATTAGATCACACTCCCAGGCACACAGCTGGATGACCGGGTTTGATGTGGTTGCTTTTGATGGTGAGGTAACAACACACCCTCATCATTTCTTCACTGCTGCTTTTTGTTTGTTTGTCCTGCCTCCTTATTACAATTCTGTGACTCAAAGGAGAATCTACTTTACCATGTCAATTTGCTGGAAATATTCGTTACCTCAATAGCATGTCAAAACTTTCCCTCTTTTTTAGCAGTCCACTCAGTGTTTTCACAATGGCTATGAAATCTCTTCCAATGTGAATGAACATTTTCATGACTACTTGGGACACTTTCCTAAAAGAGTCTTGTAAGCAAAAGCGTTTGTACGAATGTCTGTGAAAATCAAACATTAAGGAGTTGCAAATGTCAAAGTGAACTTGGTTTCTGTTTGAAAGAACATTTGTGAATATTTTTAGTGTATGTCCCCTAATCTCTAATGAGCATTATCTGCTAAAAATATTCAGTCAAGAATATTGAGCATGTAAAACCGGCCTCATTATTCAAAAGCAGCGGCACGTACTGTGTTCTCTTCATCAGTTTCATTCTCCTTATTGGAGTCTGTGAGGTAATCGGTATTCTCTTCCTCTTCTTCCTCACCCTCCTCATCATCGTTGTCTGAGCACTCCTGAAATAGTATATTTAAAGTTTATATTTTAATGACATGCTACATTTTAACATAATTTAATGAGAGAAACATTAAGTGCATTCACTGTTTACAGCCCTCCTCACTGTCATGAAATGCTGTATAATCGATTGATTGATCTTTGATCACAACATGCAATGTAGTCTGCTTCCAATGATAATGCCATGCCATCTAGCAACATTTACTGATCTGTTTTTGAATACTCATCTTACTGTCACACTAACCCTTGATCTGCGCTATGCATGGGTCCTCATCTTGTTTCCAAAACTTGTTCTTTATTGAACAAGTTATATTTTCCCCACTGAAACTGATCTGAAAGCAGACTAATTTTTTATCAAAGATTAAACTGACAAGCTGTTTTATGCAGTGTTGTTGAAGCTGTGCTGGTCCCAGGATATTTGACAGACAAGGTGGGTGAGGTAATATCTTTTATTAGACCAAAAACAGAGACAAACTTAGTGAGAGAGACCAACTTTTGAGCTACAATAAGCCACAGAAGTTAGAATTTTCAAGATCACATATATTAGCGTATTGCACACTTGCTTTTTTATTGGCTATATCAATTTGATTCAAAAGATTACAGAAGCAGTCTGAAATAGTAATGAAGACTGACGTGATTCAAATGCGCCTTATTATCCCTATTACACAGGAAAAATGATGAACAGCACAAGGTGCCTCTTGTTTCCTTTAGTTTTGGTCCTTTATATGATAGTTAATACATTTGCTCAAAAAACTGGTATAGGAGATGGCACAAAAACAGCTTTATATTTACAAATTAATAGCTATGCCGAGAGGTGGCATACTCTGTTGGGCTGAGCACAGGGTTGTGGACTGAGGGCAGCATTGAGTTCTAACCCTCCCTCTGCCACTATTTCTTTGGGCAAGTCTCTTGAATGCTCTGTGTTCACTTTTCCACATATGTAAAATTGGGTTATTATTGCCTATCTTCCCAGAGGTGTTGAGAGCTATTACTAAGGGCCAGGCATTAAGGGCCCTTTTTGCATAATCTGAGCAAATGGATTTTTGTACAGGGACTCTCCATAGCAACTAGGAGGTAGAATCCTTCCCTCCATGAAGCACAAGCAGAACTGGTGACTCCACAGCACATAGGGTGTAGAGTCCCACCTAAACATTCTCTCTGCAACTCGGGCCCTGTGCACAGCACAGCCATGCTGCATCCACTGACTTTGAGGCTTTGTGCAGGTCCACCACAGGGTTTAGGCCTTTATGATTTGCAAGTGCTAAGTATTATTTCCTTCTACGTAAGGACAGTGCAAAATAAGGTAAATGAATGTGATCACCTCTTCCTCTGGCTCATTTACTTCACTTTCATTTCCAGACTGCTCTTCTGTCTCTGCTCCACCTTCCTCCTCCTCTTCCTCTTCTTCCAGATTCTCTCCTTCCGTCATAGAATCTTTTGAATCTTTGTCATTCACAAGGCCTGAGAAATGAAAAATAGGAAGGGATTAGGAATAGAATGTGTTAGACAGGAAGCAATGTTTTGCTGTGGCATCACATAAAAATACTGTACTGATGTATGACAGTTTGAGAAACCCACTCCTAAAAAATGCTGACTGAAGTATTATGCAGTACTAGTGATTAAGTCTTGAATGATACCTTATACAATTATAAATACACGCATTTCTTTCTGAGCAAAATCATAAGAGAAAATGGTTTCAAAACAACTCAAGAAAGGATTTTTACTGGGAACATTTAGGAATTTCCACAGAGCACCGATCAAGTAACCAAGTGTTACATCTCAAAATACCTTTGAAATTTCTTCAACTCCCCTGTACTACATTTTGAAGGCTACATTGAAATGACACAAACATCTTAGATGCTGTACATAAAATGCCAGATGCTAGAAGTTATTGGATCTCTGCAGTGAGACTTTCAGTATTCTTGGAGATTTATCAAGAACTGTACAGAATTTTTAAGAAACACTTCAGAGCATATAGTGAAAATTCCTACAACCTGTGTTAGGAACTCTCAATTCTCAGCTCATAGCATTGCATCAAACAAAACCACAGTAAAAATTGTTGTTGTTACTGTGATTTATTATAAAATGAAACTCTCACAGTACAGTTCATAACTCTGGAAAAAACATTTAGCCTGTTTATAATAGATTCTTGTAAAACTGAAACTGATTTTTGTTTCCCTACTAAGGCCCTGAGATCCTGCAGTGAGTATGTATGTGCAAATCCTGCACACCTCGCAAAGCAGTCACCTAATGTCCCTATCCTACATTAGAGAGGGATCCTTAGGGTCCCGTTCATCTTACCATCTTCTCCATTGACAGACTCATTGTCTCCATCCCTGTTAAGTCTACTTTGTCTTCTGGTTTTTGTTTTGTATTATTTTGACTAGACAACCCACTCACTAATGCTCTGATTTCTTCATAAAATTATCCTTCAACCTGGTTTGTTCTCTTAACTATACTGTCTCCTTTAAATAATTACAAGTGTATTTTAATTTTGGTTTGGATAATTTTGGATTATCCCAGACCTTGCTACTACTTCACTAAATATTCTGTGATATAATTTCAATTCTCCTTTATGGAACTGGACCCCATTACACATGATCAGATCAGAAAATGCAGTTGGTGTATTTCAGCTTACAATTTAGTCTTAGAAATAGTTAAACTATTCATAAAAGACATATGAGAATTTAATATGGCTCTGAAAGATGGAAAAACAAGGTCATTTATTTTTATTTTTGAAAAAAAACCTCTTGCTGAAGCTAAGCCATCCACTACAAAAATGGACAAGCTTCTAGCACACAGTTCTCTTTCATACATTCTTTACATTTTTTCATTAATCCACAAAGCCACTTTATACTCATGGGGATTGTGGTTTGAGCTAGCAGAGAATGATATTGATGCTAGTCTTGCCCAACACAGAAGATTTCAGCCCATGATTTTTAGAAGATACCCTTCAAAACTGATGTAGTCAGTACACAGTACCTTATTCATAGTTTAAACTGTACGACCCATACACTTAGGATCTACAGTTGGGTTAGTTATTTTGGAGCACAAAGAAAGAACTAATTTCCATTCTCCTAGAACTTTGAGTAGCTAGTTTTGTTTCTTATTGAAGCAAGCAATACTTCAATCTACTCCAGCAAGTTTGGAGCTCATTTTCATAACTGTGGAAACCTGAGCTTGGGACAAATTTTTGTAGCAAGAGAGATTTTTGGTTCTATGGGCCATCATGAGTGCATTAAATTGGGGCTTCAACACAGACCAACAATGATCAGCTCAGTACAGACTACCCCAAACACAACTGTATTGGCTATGTCCATGAATCCACTGCAGAAATCTTATTTACATTGCTTCTTTAATCACTATCCATGATTTGCGCTATAAGTCATGAAAAGCGACAAGGAAGCATTTTGAAAATATGATGGCCAGGCTTTGTCAGAAAGGTCTGTGTAGCCTTCAAATCTATAGATCACTAGAATACAAGGGCAGTGCCTTTTCCTTGTTTCAGTACCATGACTCAAATTAAACAAATTTTAACCTACTCTAGTTTATTGTATAACATCAATTTGCTGGTTGGCTGTTAGACACTTCACTGATAACAGATTTATTTTAAAGTGTCCTAAAACAGGTCATGCAGTAACTTTTGCAATTTTATAGACAGACCAGTTTAATAATATAAATCTATACCAGAAGCATGACAACAAAATACTGGGGCTTCACAGCACATCTCTACTCAAATGCTTATATTAAACAATGCAATATTTCATACAAGAGGATCTAGTACTCCCTTGAATTAAAAAACAAAACACGTTCTTAGACGACTAACAAATTTATTTGAGCATAAGCTTTCGTGGGCTACAGCCCACTTCTTCATCCACAAGTACTCCTGTGGTGTTTTTTTGTTTTGTTTTGTTTGTTTGTTTGTTTTTTGCAGATACAGCCTAACACATCTCCTACTCTCAAACCATTCTTAGACAAGTTGCTCAGATACAGCCTTAATGGGGGCCATGTGAGGTACTCAGATCAATCTTGGCAATACTGATGTATACAATTCTTATCTATTAAGATTTTCTAAATGAATAGTGATTTTGGGAACCCCGTGGGTTTTTTTGGTACCCAATTGGAGACTTTAAAAGGACCTGAGTTTCAGAAAGTCCTAAGCACCCACAATCAGCCAGGGCTTTTTAAGGGGTTTCAGACAGGGCACCCAATATCATAAGTCACTTTAGAAAAATCTGGACCTATGTCCTTAATAAGACTTTTAAATTAGCCAAATCTCGCTAATACTATTAATGGTAGGATATTGTTTTGTACTTAGTGGAGTTTGACTCAAGTTCTGCTCATGCATACACACTCCCTTCCCCCCCAATTTCAGAGGCTCCAAGCTATCAATCTTCCTCGCTAATGATCATGGAATATCAGGGTTGGAAGGGACCTCAGGAGGTCATCTAGTCCAAACCCCTGCTCAAAGCAGGATCAATCCCCCATTGTTGCCCCAGATCCCTAAATGGCCCCCTCAAGGATTGAACTCATAATCCTGGGTTTAGCAGGCCAATGCTTAAACCACTGAGCTATGAATGAATGTAAATGGGAGTGGGGGGGGGTTAGCTTCCAGGGAAATTTTTTTCACCAGACAAAAAATTATATATATACACACACACACAGTATAAGTTTTAAACAAACAATTTAATATTATACACAGCAATGATGATTGTGAAGCTTGGTTGAGGTGGTGAAGTTATAGGGTGGAATTGGATGGGATATTTCCCAGGGAATGCCTTACTGCTAAATGATGAACTAGCATTCGGCTGAGCCCTCAAGGGTTAACACATTGTTGTTAATGTAGCCTCACACTCTACAAGGCAGCACAAATGGAGGGAGGGGAGACAGCATGGCAGACAGAGACACACCGTGTGTGTGGGGGAGGGGGGGAAGAGAGAGGCGCAATGCCCCCTTTAAGTATGCTGACCACACTAAGTACAATGCCTTTAAAAAAATCAGGAAGTTGAGACAGCAGCTGCGGCCAGCAAACTTTCTCCATCCTGAGCCCTGTCCTGTCCCCACTCTGCTCTATATGGAGAAGGGGCAAGCGGCGGGGTGGCAGGAGTAGGGGGGAAGGGGACACCCTGACATTAGCCCTCCTCTTCCCCCTCCCCTGCACAGCAAGCAGGAGGCTCCCGGGAGGAGCTCCAAGGCAGAGGGCAGGAGCAGCACATGGCAATGGGGAGAGGGACAGCTGAACTGCCAGCAATTGATAGCCTGCTGGGCGGCTGCTGCACAGGGAACTTAGGGGAGCAGGGAGCTGATAGGGGGGCTGCTGGTCCACTCTGGTTCCAAGCCCCCACCAGCTAGCTGCAATGGGCTGCTCTTCCTGCAAGCAGCGGACAAAGCAGGCGGCTGCCAAACAACGTTATAAGGGAGCATTGCACAACTTTAAACGAGCATGTTCCCTAATTGATCAGCAATGTAACAACGAAACAACATTAACCAGGATGTCTTTAAATGAGGAGTTACTCTACAGGGGGTGTGTGTCTCTGTCTGCCATGCTGTCTCCCTCCCCTCTATTTGTGCTGCCTTGTAGAGCGTGAGGCTAAATTAACAACAATGTGTTAACCCCTGAGGGCTCAGCCGAGTACTAATTCATCATTTAGCAGTAAGGCATTCCCTGGGAAATATCCCACCCCCTGACTCCACCATCTCAACCAAGCTTCACAATCATCATTGCTGTGTACAATATTAAACTGTTTAAAACTTATGCTGTGCGCATATTATGTATATACATACACATATAATAAAACATAGTCTTTTGTCTGGTGAAAGTTTTTTTTTCCTAAAACCTAACCCCCCCATTTCCATTCATTTTTATGGGGAAATTGGATTTGCTTAACATCGTTTTGCTTAAAGTCGCATTTTTTGGGAACGTAACTAACGTTAAGCGAGGAGTTACTGTACTGGCTGAAGGAGCAAGTATGCAAACTTGGGTTTCCATGGACAATTACTATCAAGAACTGTAACACTTTTAAACAGCACCTGAAGTTTAATGAAAAGAAATATATTTAAAGCTGTTCCAGTTTCACCCCCCAACATCCACTTACACTGGATGAGTTAAAAATCAAGGAGAGCAAGAGTTGCTACTGAGGAATGAGCACCAGAAAAGCAATTTTCAGAGAGAAGGGAACTGTGTAGGGAATACAGAGCCTAACGAAGGTATTGACAGAGGTAAAGGGAATGTGACTAGAAGGGGAGAAAGGGTGATGAGAGCAGAGAGTACTACTAGTTTTTGCTTCCACGCCAGCCTATTTAGAGAGCAAGCAGCCAACCCATCAGACTAGTGAAATCCTTTTAACTAGCATCTCCACCACATAAAACAAAACAAAAAAACACTGTTAATAATGGTGAGAGCAGGTAGCAGCAATCCTCCTCTATCATACTGATTAAATGCCAAGCAAAGATGTTGAGGAGCACTATGCTTGCTCAACTTGCTATCATACAAACAAGAAATATAATAATAATCCTAGCCACTTGTGACCACTACAAATCACAAGCCGTTTTTGCTAGAGTAGGACTATTAACCTTTTAGTCTGGATTAAATTTCCATTTTGACAGTTACCATAAATTTAGGCAAGCAGAGTGTCTTTCCTACACAATAATTTCAACTGGACACTATATTCCTCCTCACTACATGTCAAGCTGCTGCACCAAATTGTTACATGTTCATTTCCAACCGTGTATAGGCTCCTCTCGTATGTACATGTAAATAATTTGTAAAGTTCTTCAGGATGTCTTATTCTTATATTTATGCCACAAATCTAGCGATAGATAGGCATATGTGTGAAAGTACAAAATATTAAACACAGGCTAGAACAGTGTCAAGTAAATAGTACAAATTTTTTTTGGGCATATACCCATTTTAATTACTGGAATATTTCCCGAATCTCAGAAATAAATCCATAGAAATACTAATCTGACAAAATTACTAAAATCATGTAGGAATAGATTATGATTTGGAGTTTGGTCAGAATCCTCATTAAAACTATTCCAACAAAATCTTTTCCACTGAAAACATTTGCACCTATCATAATAGCTTTCAAAGATCTGAACAGAGAAATACAGATAAGAATCTTCTATACTCTATGTATAGTCATAACAGCAAAGGATTAGTGACTATCCTACCATATGTGTATTTAACTAGGAGAAAAAGATATTGGAAACTAACTAGGAGAAAAAGATATTGGAAACTCAATAGTTGCTCATTCAATAGCACCTTTAAAAATAACAACGGTGATCTGCCTGTCTGGTGCCACAATGAACACAATGAATGACATTTCCCAAAACTGGCTCACTCATGCTCCAGGAATGAGGAGATCCCACTACTGTACTGGATGCAACTGATCTACAGAAAATGGTTCAGAGGGTGGAAATTACTTGGACTTACAGCAGAAACTGCTGGGCATCTTTGAAAGGAATTTATTAAAATGCATATAATTAGTCATAATTTGCCTTTTGGGGGGAGTTAGAGATCATAAAAGCACTACTTTAGATCATGCCATGAGGAAGGGAATTTTTTTACCTAAAATGGTTTCCATTCCAAATTTGTTTTTTTCTTTCTGATCATCATAACATATATAAGGAAGTCAAAGTCTGATATTAATACTAAATTATATTTGAAGAATTTTAATTAAATGAATAGCACAGTGAACAAAATGCAAATTCCTCTTAAAAATAAAAATCAATGCATAATTTCTCCATATATTGACCCTTAAATTAAGGGATTACTTTGAGAACTGAACTGATTTAACTAGAAGTAGCGTGGATCAAGTTCTTGCCTATAAATTAACACTCGTAAGTGAAAAAATCCACAAAAAAGCCTCTAGTAAAACAGGGCTTCCAATTACAAATTAAAAATTATAAAATAAATCCGTTCAACGACTGAATACATTAACAGCCAATGGCACTGCATAAATTTTTTTTTTTAATGCAACTTTGCCCTAGTGTTTCTAGATATAAACATTAGGGAGTGTTTGGTCAATTGAGCTGTGGGGTCCCCAGGGCCTGGTGTTTGCTCCTGATGCTAACTAATTTCAACACAGATAACTTTGGAGTGTTTCATAAATGTACACTACTGTAGTTGGAACAAGAACAGGTTTACCTTTTAGTAACTCACAAATGCAGCACTAGTTTCCATATGCTCTTTAAAGAAAGCAGTCTATTAATCCAGTTTAACAGAAGCATAAAGAGAACAGAAGTAGTGTTTACATTTAGCATAAGTAAGGGAGTCACATTCTCATCAAGTAATTTCCTCCACTGAAAACTGTGAGCCTATTTATGAGCATTCCAAGGAAAATATAAAAGATTCAAAATGTCTGACAGTCAGCTTTCTAGAAATAGAGCTGTGGTCAGTAAACAGAATAGCAAACAGGTTCCCTTGTTTTACTGTAGTTCCAGACTATTCCAGTTTGACAAGAATTGCTATTGCCATGCCTAACATAAGAGTAAGCCAACATGTGTCTTGGAAAATACAGGATTATACTGAACCTTTTCAACCCAGTGAATAAAGAATACTGTAACTCCACACGACACAACTGTCATTTCTTCCTCTTATGCAGACCACCAGTAGCAGTTCCTTGATGACTTTTATCCAGCGGAACTTTTATGCATCCTGAAGGGAAAGAATTTCTTCCAGAAAGCCATTCTGTCAACCACTTCCTAAAGTCTCTTAAAGAGTGACTTAGTTGGTCTCCAGATCTGCTTGCTACTTGCTAAATATTCCAAAAGTTCAAGTAATAGTATTTCTTCTACTTTATTTCTGTAATACATCATTGTTAAAGACCACTGTTAATCTCTCTACATATAAAACATTGGAACACTCATGACATTTTGTAGGCCTAGCCTTAAAGAGAAAGATACTACGTGGTCAAGTTTACCCTTCCTAGAGTGCTGAAAAAGATGCCCAAAGCACCATTTTCCTCATCTATTGAAATATTCACTGGAGACAGGCTAACACCACACGTCTATGGATTAAAAGAACTGTATATTTCAAAGCTCTTCCAATAAGTGGTTTAGTAAATAATTTTATCTCCATTTTATGGAATGGTGTAAATGAGGGTCAGAGAGATTTCGTGAAATGCCGAAGGTGGCGTAGCAAAGTCAGGGATGTTACACAGATCTTGACACCCATCCTTATGCTTAGTCCACTGGAGCCCAGCTGCCCCTCTATATGCATTCTTGAGTGTGCCTATGGAGATACAAATAACAAATACACTAACACTCTCCATTGTCTTTCCTTGAAGACTATCAAGATGGTTTTCAATCAATTTAAGCTTCAACTGCTATGAGGCAGGTAAGGCAGAAGAAAAACTGAATGAAAGGGGTCAAGGGAGTTGTCTAAGGTCACATCTCAAGACTGAGGAACAGAACTCAAATGACCCCCAGTTTCACATAATATACACTAGACCACATTAGTAGGCACAACTGTTCATTTCAATGACTCGATATTACAATGCACATTTCATGCTTATTTGAATGCCTTGTTCTTAGGTTTGCCGACTTGGTAATATTTAAAAACCGGACACTCCAACAGGAGTGCCGGAATCTCCCGTCCTGCCTCTTCCCCCGAGGTCCCACCCCTGCACTGCCTCTTCCCCATAGGCCCCCTCCCCTGCATCACTCGCTGCTCTTCCCCTCCCATCCCCACCTCCCGGGTCAGGAGGGATTTTCCTGCAGAGCTGGGACCCAACGAAGGTAGGAGGTGGCCCCGGCTGAGAAGGAGGCTGGAACGGGTGATGACCTGGCGCCTCTCCTGCTCGTAGTAACCAGACATTGTCAGGTCCCCTTTTCGACCAGACTTTCCAGGCAAAAACCGGACACCCAGGCCACCCTACTTGTTCTACAAGTCCAGTGTTTGACTGTAATGGTCCCATATACCTTAAAGGAGTCCAGGTAATAGAACCAATGGATATGCTTGTGTGTGATGAGCTACTCAGCCACCAGGACTGCTGGATGCACTAAATACTGTATCAAAGCAGCCAAAAGCTCTTGTGTACTAACGAAGTTAGAGTTGGTGGTTTTCCTTTTCCACCAGTCATCATAAATAAAAACCATAGTCACCTTCGTGTTTAGTGTTTCTTTAGATACATCAAATTAATATGTTACCCGGATTCAGAACAGGTCAGGAAATGCAGAAAAAGGTTAAAAAACACCCGAGGGATAGTTTTCAGAGTGGTAGCTCTTAGTCTGTATCAGCAAAAACAACGAGGAGTCCTTGTGGCACCTTAGAGACTAACCAAATTTATTTGGGCATAAGCTTTTGTGGGCTAAAACCCACTTCATCAGATACATGGAGTGGAAAATACAGAGGCAGGTATAAATACACAGCACATGAAAAGATGGGAGTTGCCTTACCAAGTCGGGGGGGTCAGTGCTAACAAGCCAATTCAATTAAGGTGCAAGTGGGCTATTCTCAAGGTTGACAAGAAGGGAGGAAAATCACTTTTGTAGTGCTAATGAGTTCAATGTAATCAAGGTGGCCCATTTCAAACAGTTGACAAGAAGATGTGAGTAACAGCAGGGGGGAAATTAGTTTTTGTAGTGATCCATCACTGGGGGATAGTGATAGTAGTAGTAATAATAATAATAATGACAGCATAAAAGACGAACAACTGGCTTTGATGATGTACTATTTCTTACCTAGTTTTATTAAGAATTCTCGTTCCAAATCTTGTACCTGCCTGACAGATTCTTCCAGAGAATTGCAGAGTTTTATCTTTGGTCTCAGCAGTTCTAGCGTATCACTGATCATATAGTCAATGTCAATAGGAAATGGATGGTCTTTTGTCCAAACTTCCAAATTCTTCTTCCACCAAACATACCTCTGAAATACAAAACATCCTCATGTTATATACGTACTGTACTTCATGTTGACTGAAGCTATTTTACCAAGAAAAAAGACATAACCAAAACATTAAAGAAAATGTAGATGCATACAAGTCACTAAAAACATACTAAATTCATGTATCCTGCTAAAACAGTTTGAAACAATTCAAAGAAAGTCCCTAAAATAAAAAAATCCATACAGAATTTTAAAGTGACAATCCAGATTTTAAATTACATAACCAAATAAATCATCTATGGCAACTGAAAATATTATAAAAAATAGGAACAGAATGAAAATACCCTTTTTAAGGGGCAGATTTTCAACCGGAAATGGGCACCTACCTGCCCTTTGTGCATTTCAAAATCCCTCTAATTCTTGTACAAATGCAGCCATACAAATCATATTCTTTTTTAAAAGGGAAGACATTTTTCACAAACATGAGAATGTTAAAACTTCAGGTAGCAGTGGGTGATTCTTCTATCGAAAGTATGGACATCTTTATAGCAAACCAGCACTATATTCATCTGTAAGATGCAAAGTAAATTCTACCCTTATTTATACAAGTGTATTTAAGGGCAAAATGAGAGAACAATGAGGTTGCGCAGGTGCATCTGAAGGCAGAGTATGATCCGCAGAACCTTTATTAATGGTGGTGATGTTCAAGCCAGAAACAACTCAGTCTGACTTTCAGATTTTCAGGACTAACAGCAATTAGGGAAAAACATCTTTTTAATTTTTAGACTGATCAAATTTGATATGTATTTACTGAGATAGAAACATGGAACCCCATAATATTTTAAATAATCACTTATTTAGTTTAACCACAAAGGAACTGAATTACTATATATGCTAATTAGGGCTGTCAATTTATCGCAGTTAACTCACGTGACAAACTCAAAAAAATTAATCACGATTAATCGCAGTTTTAATCGCACTGTTAAACAATAGAATACCAACTGAAATTTATTAAATATTTTGGATGTTTTTCTACATTTTCATATATATTGTATTCTGTGTTGTAATTGAAATCAAAGTATATTATTATTAACGAATATTTGCACTGTAAAAATGACAAACAAAAGAAATAGTATTTTTCAATTCACCTCATACAAGTACTGTCGTGCAATCTCTTTATCATGAAAGTGCAACTTACAAATATAGTCTTTTTTTGTTACATAACTGCACTCAAAAATAAAACATAAAACTTCAGAGCCTACAAGTCCACTCAGTCCTACTACTTGTTTAGCCAATCGCTAAGAAAAACGAGTTTGTTTACATTTATAGGAGATAATGTTGCCCGTTTCTTACTTACAATGTCACCAGAAAGTTCGAACAGGCATTTGCATGGCACTTTTGTAGCCGGCATTGCAAGGTATTTACATGCCAGATATGCTAAACATTCGTATGCCCCTTCGTGCTTCGGTCACCATTCCAGAGGACATGCTTCCATGCTGACCACGCTCGTTAAAAAAAATGATGCGTTAATTAAATTTGTGACTCAACTCCTTGGGGGAGAATTGTAAGGCCCCTGCTCTGCTTTACCTGCATTCTGCCATATATTTCATGTTCTAGAAGTCTCAGATGATTGTCAGAACATTCACTATAGATTTGACAAAATGCAAAGAAGGTATCAATGTGAGATTTCTAAAGATAGCTACATCACTCGACCCAAGGTTTAAGAATCTGAAGTGCCTTCCAAAATCTGAGAAGGAGGAGGTGTGGAGCATGCTTTCAGAAGTCTTAAAAGAGCAACACTCCGACGTGGAAACTACAGAACCCAAACCACCAAAAAAAAGAAAGTCAACTTTCTGCTGGTGGCATGTGACTCAGATGATGAAAATGAACATGCGTCAGTCCACACTGCTTTGGACTGTTATCGAGCAGAACCCGTCATCAGCATGGATGCATGTCCTCTGGAATGGTGGTTGAAGCATGAAGGGACAGATGAATCTTCAGCGCATCTGGCACGTAAATATCTTGTGACGCCGGCTACAACAGTGCCATGAGAATGCCTGTTCTCACTTTCAGGTGACATTGTAAACAAGAAGTGGGCAGCATTATCTCCTGCAAATGTAAACAAACTTCTTTGTCTGAACAAGAAGTAGGACTGAGTGGACTTGCAGGCTCTAAAATTTTACATTGTTTTATTTTTGAATGCAGTTTTTTTGTACATAATTCTACATTTGTACGTTCAACTTTCATGATAAAGAGATTGCACTACAGTACTTGTATTAGGTGAATTGAAAAATACTATTTCTTTTGTATTTTTACAGTGCAAATACTTGCAATCAAAAAATAAATATAAAGTGAGCATTGTGCACTTTGTATTCTGTGTTTTAATTGAAATCAATATATTTGAAAATGTAGATGATTAATTTTTTTAATCAGTTGACAGCCCTAATGCCAATACTCCTCCACTGCAGTTATCTTTTAAATTCCCTGTTTTTCTTTTGTACTTCTAAATTAAGTTAAAAGAGATTAACACAAACACTCTAAAGTCCATGAATGTTTCAGAATATTCCATGGAGTTACCATGGCATCATCCAGTTACATTTGACATTTTAATGCCATTTCAAAAATCTCTCATTAAAACTATGAACATCAGAAGGGATTTAAAAAAAATCATTACAGAGCTTGTAGAGTTCACAGTCAGGGCTGGTCTACACTGGGGCGGGCGGGGGGATCGACCCAAGATACGCAACTTCAGCTACACGAATAGCGTAGCTGAAGTCGAAGTAGCTTGGATTGAATTACCTGGGGTCCAGACAGCGCGGGATCGATAGCCGCGGCTCCCCCGTCGACTGCACTACTGCCGCTCGCTCTGGTGGAGTTCTGGAGTCGACAGTGAGTGCGTTCGGGGATCGATATATCGCGTCTTAACGAGACACGATATATTGATCCCGGATTAATCGATTGCTACCCGCCGATACGGCGGGTAGTGAAGACGTACCCTCAGGCCTCAACTTAGCAGAGTATTTAAGCATGTGCTCAACTTAAGCATGTGAATAGTCCCAGGGAAATCTACAGGACTGCTCATGTTCTTAAATTTAAACACATTTAAATCCCTTGCTGAATTGGAGCCCAAATGATAAAAACCTAAGTGTACAGATTCTAGATACTGTATAGATAAATCTTTAGGACCATGCAAAGATACACCCATTACCCAAAGTTAATTTTAAACACAAAGTTAAGTTTATTAATACCTGAAAGTACACAAGGAAGCAATCAAGCTTCCGTTTGCTGGAACCTCTGTCAAAATATTGCCCACAGGTATCAAGGATGGTGCAGACCAGTCTAATTCGAAAAAGATGTTCTGGAGGGTCCAGTGGACTAGCAGTACCATCAGGGTTCACACCAAATGATGTAAATGAATATAGAGTTCGAAATATTACAGCTGACTCGACCATTCGGTAATTGTAAAGTTCTCCCAAGAACTTGGCACTGCTGATCCGTCGCTGATTAAACTTTGGCTGGTTAACCTTGAACAAAACCCAACATTTACTAGTTTAGTGCAAAACACACATTTACTTTTATACATGTGGACACAATAGGAATTACTATAAGGAGCCTTACAGTCTCCATTACAGAAATGTAAACTAAAAAAGTACGTTTTTGCTTTAAATAATATTGTCACTCCTTGATATAATTTGTTACAACAGAGCCCGAAGTAACTCTATGTTCTATCTACGTATTGCAGATAGCCATATAACCTGGCCAATCAATAGATATCATAAAGGTTTGAATGAAGCCCAGTCCTGTATTATTTAAAAGAATGTTTCTGGAATTCGGCCTTTTTTTTTTTTTAAACATATCTAGAAAAAGCTTTCGATAACTGTGAGCTCTATCAAATTATGGACTTCCAAAGAAAATGATATGAAAATCCATGGCTTCAGACATTTAAATATTAGACTAGAAAAGCATTATAAATAGTGCATAGGGAACAATCTTACTATGGCAAGGGAATGAAGTAACTACCCTAATAACCCTCTCTCATTTTTATCCTGACTTTATGATTGACCTTAAAGAAAGCAGCTGGCAGGTAGGTAGAAAAGTAATCAATCAAGCAATGAAAAATATTTTCCATAATCTCTATTTCTATTTTTAAATTATATTTAGAAAGGTTTTATTTTAATGTTTCTGTTAAACAAGTGAATGAACTTATAATATATATGTATATATTTTACCTCCATGCCTAGGCGAATATCCTCTAGCACTCCATCCACAACATGAATTCCAACATCCTCTTGGTAAAGTACCAACCCTGCTAAAAGGTTAGCTACACAGTGAATACTATTGTATTTCACATTCCAGATGTTGATCATACAACATATAACATAATCTTTCACTTCAGGATCCTGCCAGGGCAATTTGCGCATCTGTCTCAGGACCTAAACAAGATTTGTAAAACACAATTAACAATTCAGTAGGCAAAGTTGGGTGGATTTATATGTAAATGGAACCAGTTATATCTTATAGTCATTACAAATGCCACCCCAAATAATATTTGTGGCCTCTTTCTAAAGAAATACCCTCACTTATTCAGAAGTGGATTCATGTGTTACCCAAATGAAGTAAATCTAATGGATATATATCCCAAGCCATAGGTACCTAATCTAAACCCTACTCCATGAGAAGACTGGTGGTCCTTTCCAGCTTGTAATTTATCAAGGCGCTCTCAATCATTCAGGAAGCCAGTAAGAAATCATGTTACCGGGAGTACAAAGGTCTAGAACAACTACCTCACTACAAACCCCAAGTCCATCTTCTTTTGAAAGGCTCAGATAGCAGGAAGCACCACTTCATCAGTGAAGCTGGCACTTTATCCCCTTTTTCCTAAAATCCATGGAAATTAGCGGATACTTGTCACGGGACTCAGAAGAGCAGCACTATAATATTGGAACGGCACTGAAAAAAACCTAAGATTAAAACAAAATTCTACACTTCTCTTGAACAAAGTAAACAGAGTCACAACTTAAGTAAAGCTGATCTGAAACCAAACATGAACCTTAACATCTAAGCTACGCATAGAAATTGTTTTAATGTGGAAAGTGAAGACTACAGAAAAACAAGGAGTCTAATATATCCTGAACTTTTAGGGTTAGATTCTCAACTGGCATAAACTGGTGGAGTTCCACTGCTGCTAACGAATCTCCACCAATTTACACCAACAAAGGATCTGATCCTTAATTTATGTACAGGTGTTATTTATTTTGCCTTGTACTATTAAAAGCATAAAGGGAGACAGAAACCTAGACCACTTATAAAAAGGTATGGAATACATTTGGTCTGACTTAATGCAAACACTGTGCAGGATGGAAACACCTCTCCCAGATGCTTTGGTACCGTATTCACTCAGCACTGGATGTCTAACACAGTGGTTCTCAACCAGGGGTACAAGTACCTCTTGGGGTACGCAGAGGTCTTCCAGGGGTTACATCAGCTCATTTAGATATTTGCCTAGTTTTACAACAGGCTACACAAAAAGCACTAGCAAAATCCATACAAACTACAATTTCATACAGATAATGACTTATTTATATGGCTCTATATACTATACACTTGAAATGGAAGTACAATATGTATATTCCAGCTGAGTTTATAATGATATGGTAAAAATGGGAAAGTAAGCAATTGTTCAGTAATAGTGTGCTGTGACACTTGTATTTTTAGGTCTGATTTTGTAAGCAGTTTTTAAGTGAAGGTGAAATGTGGGGGTACGCAAGATAAATCAGACTCCTGAAAGGGGTACAGTAGTCTGGAAAGGTTGAGAACCACTGATCTAACAGACATCCAAGGTTATACCCCAGAGATACTGTAGACTCTCCCTGCACGCGTCTTAGAATAAGACTGGTGTACCTTTAGAGTTTGAGAGCCTCACCACCCAGTGTGACTTGATGAGAAACCACAGTGTTCTTTTCTGGGACTTGTATATTCTCAGACCTACTCCTCTTCTCTTCCTGGAAGACTAAAATCATGTCCAGCTCTACCTGGACATCCCCACTGACTCACCTTAAAATATCTTGCCTTGTTAGCATGCACATGGCCTCTGATTTTAATAGCTCAAACAGTGTGCCCGTCTCTAATATAATCCTGATCCAGAAGCAGTTTCTCCTCTCCTGGGAGTATTAAACATTAATCTCAACCCTGCCCTCAGACACTTGCTGTGTTCCAACTTTCTTGGATCCTTCAAAACATATGTCAGATCTGGATAATTCAAAACCTCTTCCCATCTTTTCAACCTCAATCATTTATATGGGTCAAGCAGAAGCCTTCTTTCCTAGCAACGACTCATCCTTTCACTCTCAGGTTCTAAATGAGTACCTATAATTATTGTTCTTGTAATAAATAATTTAAGAGGAAGAGTTGTGTCATGTCACACGTACTGCCATCTACCACATCAAGATTTCACATGGATTCACCTTCTCAGTGGTGACCTTGGAGAGATCCTTGTAAAGAAGCTTACGAATATACTCCTGCAGAGGTGGGCGTTTCTTCCTCACAGTTTTTTCAGCAGGAGGGGGATTACAGTAGTAGTACGCATTCTCCACCATTGTGACATACCGTGCGTCGAGATGCATGGCTTGTTTCTTTCTCATCATTTGTTCCTAGAAACAAATAAAAACTTATGTGAAAAATGTTTCTCATTAAGCTATTAAATTTCCCTCATGCCAAAAGTCTTCATAGTGTAAGTGATGGGTGGTTGGAGGCAGAGTGCAGAGAAATAAATTACAAGTATGTTGCTTGTGATGGTTGGGGGCAGAACTCAACAGCCCTAGGGCTAATTTCCAGTTTTTGTCTTATGTCCCTAAAGCTCATGCTTCAGGGTTTCGGCTGGCAACTGGGAGAGGTCAGGAAGAGATTGTTTTCCCTGCAATGTATTCTGGAAGGTTTTTAAAATCTCCTTCCTCAGAAGCATCAGGGACGGCCAAAACTGGAGATGGGACATGGGGCTGGGTGGGCTAGGGCTTTGAGGTGGCACCAAGCATTCTTGCACTCTCAGGGGCTTGGCTGGCTGGTTCTTGCTCACACTCTCAGGATCTAACTCATCGCCATACATGGGGTCAAAAAGGAATTTGCTCCTAGGTCAGACTGGCAATGACCTTGGGGTTTTTTCGCCTTCCTCTATAGCGTGTGGGCATGGGTCACATGCCAGGACTATCTGAGTATTTCTAATTCAATAATTTCCCTGCCATTGGAGGGCCCTTAAGCACTGGTGAACCTCAGTCCCTCCTAGTCGCACGTAAGTCTAGTTTCCTGTGGGCCTCATTTACTTTGGACTCATTTCCGTTATTGGGTTTAGTGTGCAAGTCCTGGGTGATGGTGGTGGCCTATGATATACTGGAGATCAGACTAGATGATCAGTGGTCCCTTAAACCTATGACTATGACAATTTTTTTTGCAGTCATCTTAAAAACTCAGGTGAAAGCTTGAAATTAAGTAGTTCATTCCGCATGACCATCGTAAAGCTCATTTAATTTCATCTGTTTCTCTAAGGATCATATGAAGAGGATTTAAGAGACATTTAAGTTTTATCTTAGTGAAACTTATAAAGCTCCTATTTATTCATATTATGATTCTACTTAATAAGCTTTTCAGTTACTAAACATAAATCCTGTGATTGTACAGTGATTAGCACAATGGGGCCCCGGTCTATGATTAAGGCCCCTAGGTACTACAGTAATACAAATAAAAAATGAGTTGAAATATTATTTAAATTAGCACAGTCAATCAATAAAGACTTCTTACACACTTTTTACAACATGGTGAGAATCAGCAAAAATTACACTGGGATTCCATATTTACTTTCAGTGGTATAACCTCTGGTATTTATATTTCCCATTGTATACTCCAGTGTTGGCAGCTAGATTTTGGGATGACAAGATACTAGATCGCAAACAGAATACCACAGTACATGACTAGGGCCTAAAGGTATCACCTAACTTTGGATGATTATGTATTAAGAAACCAAATAGGAATCAATCACACCATTTAAGGATGTATCCAAATCTTAGCTTGCCTATGCATAGTAACCTAGAGCATCAAATCTAGCTATCATCAAAACTCAGGTTTCCAGTACTTTTTCATTCCCACATACAAAAGCTGTTAGTGAAGCCCAAGTGGTCTAGTCAAAGAGAAGAATAGTTTATATTTTTTCACTGTAGTCTTGCCCTGCTAATCAGAAAAGTCTAGAAGGAGGTTGAAGATCATGAGAGCAATAGGTAATGCAGCCCAATATCCATCTAGACAGTCTTTTTTAAGAGATTGAGGATCCCTTAGATCTGTCCGCAATAGAGAGAAATCGTCTGGGAGACTCCTTGAAGGGCTTAGTCTAGCTAAATATAAGGCTAATGATCTCCTGACACTGAGCGTGTGTAATGTCGCCTTCCTTTTGTCCCAGTGTGGTTTCAGAAAGAAGATTGGGAAGTGGATAATCCAGTTTATATGGAAGTGCAAAGATATTTTCAGTAGAAACCTTGCGTAGCGGGGTGGACACCCGCTCCTGCCCTGAAGGGCTTGAAATCAGCCCTGAAAGAGGGCTGCAGGGGTAAAAGCAGCCCTGGAGAGGGCTGCAGCTCTAAAAGCTGGGCTGATTGGGGAGGCGGCTGCAGCTGGGCCACCCCCCAATCAGGCCACAGCTGGCCTGTATAAAAAGGCTGGGAGCCAGGAGCTCAGCACTCTCTCTCTGCCTTTAGAGGGAGAAGGGCCTGGCTGCTAGGGAGCATACATGTGTACCTACGGTAGAGCAAGGCTGGGGGAAAGGCCAAGGGAGCTGGGGAGCTCTGGCCTAGGAAAGCCCCAGACTGCAGGCCTGGTAAGGCCTTTTAGGTACTGGGTTGCAGGGGGCAGCCCACGAGTAGGCAGAGGCAGCAGGTCCAAACACCTTTGCCTGTGCTGAGTGGCTGATACACTGCAGTCTGCCCCAATGAACAGGGGCTAAGTGATGACTGGCAGTAGCCAAGACTGAGGCAAAGTGGGGATAGTGGGTGGGGGTTCCCCTGGGAGGGGGAGACCCAGAAGTGTGGGGTTACTGCCAGGAGGCAGCACCCCAGATAATGGGGCACCGGGTCCTGGGAGGGACACAGGGGCCAGAATGAGGTAAAGTGTATCACCAGCCTGCAGAGGGCGCTCCGGAGCTTGGACGAGCTAAGTCCTGAGATCAACCAGCAGGAGGCGCCACAGGGGTGAGTCCACACCCTTACACCTTGGGTGTGGTCATAGTGTAACCTTGTCTTTGAAAAAGACTGTAAGGGATGAGGGTAACTCAGAGCCCCTATCTCTCCCACACTTCAAGCAGAAGTAATGGCTACTAGAAATGTAGTTTTCCTAGAGAGGTGCAGAAGTGAGGAGGTGGTCATGGGTTCAAAGGGGGGGATCTGGTTAGACACCTGAGGACAAAGTTGAGGTCCCATGTCAGTACAGGTCACCTGATTTGTGGGAAGAGGTTACTCATGCCCTTGATGGGGTGAACCAGTGGATATACTGAGCTTAGACTGGACGGGGTGAACAAGTGGATATACTGAGCTTAGACTTTCAGAAAGCCTTTGACAAGGTTCCTCACCAAAGGTTCTTAAGCAAAGTAAGCGGTTATGGGATAAGAGGGAAGGTCCTCTCATGGATCAGTAACTGGTTAAAAGATAGGAAACAAAGGTCAGTTTTCAGAATGGAGAGAAGTAAATAGTGGTGTCCCCCAGGGGTCTGTACTGGGACCAGTACTGTTCAACGTATTCATAAATGGTCTGGAAAAAGGGTGAAACAGTGAAGTGGCAAAATTTGCAGATGATACAAAACTACTCAAGATAGTTAAGTCCAAATCAGACTGCAAAGAGTCACAAAGGGATCTCACTAAACTGGGTGACTGGGCAACAAAATGGCAGATGAAATTCAATGTTGAGAAATGCAAAGTAAAAACAATCTCAACTATAAATATACAATGATGGGGTCTAATTAGCTGTTACCACTCAAGAAAAAGATCTTGGAGTCATTGTGACTAGTTCTCTGGAAACATCCACTCAATGTGCAACGGCAATCAAAAAAGCGAACAGAATGTTGGGAATCATTAGGAAAGGGATAGATAATAAGACGAAAAAAATATATTGCCTCTATATTAATCCATGGTATGCCCACATCTTGATTACTGTGTGCAGATGTGGTCATCTCATCTCAAAAAAGTTATACTGGAATTGGAAAGGGTTCAGAAAAAGGCAACAAAAATGATGAGGGGTATGGAACAGCTTCTGTATGAGGAGAGATTAATGAGACTGGAACTTTTCAGCTTCGAAAAGAGATGACTAAGGGGCAATATGATAGAGGTCTATAAAATCATGACTGGTGTGGAGAAAGTAAATAAGGAAGTGTTATAACACAAGAACTAGGGGTCACCAAATGAAATTAATACGCAGCAGGTTTAAAACAAACAAAAGGAAGTATTTCTTCATACAATGTGGAGTCAACCTGTGGAACTCTTTGCGAGAGGATGTTGTGAAGGCCAAGACTATAACAGGGTTCAAAAAAGAACTAGATAAGTTCATGGAGGATAGGTCCATCAATAGCTATTATCCAGGATGGGCAGGGATGCAAAAATCAACCATACCAACAAGGTGGGCCGTGTCTCTAGTTGCAGTAAGCTGGTTCTGCAGAGGTTTCTGGTTGGCTTGGTCCCTGGTAATAGAATGGAGAGCCTTCAACAGAGACTGAAGAGAAACTGTTGTTGTCGTCGTCGTCCTCCTCCTCCTCTGGCAGAGGTGGAGCAGTTATGGATGCTGAGGGAGACTCCATCAGTATAGCACGCATGCCAGGAAAGTGAGATGGGATTGGTACTTAGAACCTGTCGGTGACAAGCAAGGGCAATTCAGGCGTTTCTTAAACCAGCAAGTCCCAAGAAAATCAGAATTCCTGCTGTACTGGAATGGTGGACAGTACCGTTGAGGTAAGATGAGC